GTGAAATTGTACCATGCAACAAATAATCGAGAGTATAAAGTCGTAACCTCGAAGCGAGACCTTTGGGTGTCTGCTTGTAAGCACGATTGCAGATGGTGGTTGCGTGTATTTCTTAGTAGGAAACATGGTCTTTTTGAAATAAAGCAGTACAGGGGTCCTCACCATTGTTTATACCCACGAATGAACAAGGACCACACTAATATTAGCTCCAGTTACATTGCTTCTTATCTTTTAGGACAAGTTGCGGTGAGTATAAAAAATAAATGTTTACATACATATACATATTTGTTTGTTTATAGTGTTCACACCAAAGTAATCCAACTCATATTTGATTGTCGAATGCAAAATGAACCTGATATGCCAATTAAGAATGTCATCGAAGATATCAAAAAGACCATGAGCTATAGTATATCATACAAGAAGGCGTGGCATGAAAAGGCAAAGGCAATTAGAATGGTATTCGGGGATTGAGATGAATCATATAAGCAGTTGCCTAAATTCATGCATGCATTATAGACATCTAATCCTGGCACCATCGTTCAATGGAAGCATAGATATACTGGAAGTACAACCATTATGCCCGTCTTCCACTTTATTTTCTGGTCTTTCAAACCCGTCATCGATGGCTTCAGCTATTATAGGCCTGTTATAACCATAGATGGTACATTCTTACACGGTAAATACATTGGTGTGTTGCTTGTAGCAACGATTGTCACTACCAATGGCAAAGTATTACTGGTTACATTCGCTGTTGTCGACAATGAGAGTTTGGAGTCTTGGTCGCTCTTCATTTCAAATATCGAGGAACATATTGTCATGGACCGACAGGGAGTGACTTTGATATCTGATCGAGCTGAGAGTATATTAGCTGTTGTGAGGTGGCATTGGCTGAATCCCTTGCTCCAATTTGTTGGATATCATCGGCACTGCCTTCGACATGTTTGTAGTAACTTTAACACAAAGTTCAAAAATAAGGAGCTGAAACAACTTCTATAGAAAGCAGGGAGTGCTGATCAACGATGAAAGTGTAATGTTTACTTAGAACAGATACAGGCTATTAACCAAGATGCCATCGATTGGGTCCACAAGATGAATCTTGTGGAGTGGGCCCTTGCGTATGATGGTGGATATCAGTGGGGGGTATTGACCAGCAATGATACAGAGTGCTTCAACAGCGTCTTGAAAGGTGCAAGGAACTTACCTATCTCAGCTATGGTTGAATTTATATTTCGATGGCTCGTAAAATATTTTGACGAGATAGGAGCCCAAGCTGAAACAGATGTACGAAATGAGTTCCCATAACCTAGAGAGATGCAAAAAACTACAGAAGAGGGCATCGCAAAGGGAAATACTTTCAAGTTGATATCGTATGACAGGTTAGTTTGTAATGTGAACTAAATTATTCTTATTATGTTGTTAAGTTAATTACACCTAAAAACATGATGTTGATTAGTTTATATCGATATTGTTTGATAGGCCCTGCCGCATATTTGAGGTGCAAACATCTTTTCGCCATGGACGAGGTCACAATACACAGATTGTGTGGATGAATCAACCCACGTGCAGCTGTGAGAAATATGAGATAAGACACTATCCATGTTCCCATATGCTCGTTGTAATGTCTGAATGCGGTAACAATCCATTCGAGTACGTTAATCCAGTATATAGGCTTCCTGTATACATGAGGGTTTGGGAAACTAAATTCAATCCAATACCGCATCAAGATTATTGGGATGATCTACAGTGGACCTTAATGCCTAATGTACTTCGGCTGCGAGAAGTAAAACGGGGTCGTACATCTATGTCTCGTATTCCAAATGAGATGGATATATCAGATAGGCGTTTGACCGCTCGTTGCAGTGAGTGCCATCAGACAGGTAATGACAGGCGAACATGTCCGGCGCGACTTGGTCAATGAAGACTATGTAATACTTACATATTGTAATAGATCATTTTGAAATTCTTTATTTGTAATAGATCATTTAATTATTTATTTTTTAATTCTTTATTTGTAAACGGGGTCGTACATTTAAATAGATCGTTTTTTATTTGTAATAGATCATTTCTAATTTTTAAGTCTTTATTTATTGTAATTGTTTTATATTAAAAAAAAAAATTTACCAACTAACATACTAAACAAATAAATTAAACTAAATATGTATGCAAAAACATTTAACTGTACCACATAGCCCTAAGTTTTTTACTGTGTACTTGATTGAAAATGTATATTACAAAATTCTATACTTAATCACGTAGTTCTTCTACCATTTGAAAATTTAATATTTATAAATAAATTTAATATTTTCGAATGCTGCAACCATTGTTCACATTTACAATTTATGAATAAATTTATGTAATTTAAAAATTTTATAATTTATTTAAACTTCTAGCATTACAAAATCAATATCTAAGTTTTGTCAAACATGCCATAAATGTAATCATCAGCCTATTATTGGTTTGAAAACAATTTCTCATTTAATTTTTTGGCAAATATTTATGTAGGAAAACTATCCACATCTTACTACACTATATTCATGGTCATTATTAAGCTTATGTAACTGAGGCCCTAAAATTATTTTCGAAAATATTTCTATATTAGTTATAGCATACATAACGGTAGGTTCTATTGAAATTTTATCATATTTAATGACACATAATTTTAAATCTTAAAGTACAAATATATATATATATATATATGTATATATATATATATATATTTAAAAATCATAAATTATGGAATAATTAGAGTTTTTTTTATGATTAGAAATTTATAATTTTAAAATAACCGAGCACATTTTTTTTTTGAAGTCGTCATGTATGGAATTAATTAGAGTTTAATTGTTATAGTTAAATTACAGTTAACTAATAGAGGTTTAAGTCGGTAAAAAGTAATTACATTTTAGTGAATTGCTTCCATATATAGTATCACACAAATTTAAATTTTGAAATAGCTGAGTATACTTTTCTTTTACAAATCGTAATTTATGGAATAATTACAGTTTTCCTGTTATGATTAAATGAGATTTTTATTGTTATGATCTAGTATTTCACTTGTACAAGCTTCATGGCACATGTACCTGAGGAGGTCCCACTTTTCAGTCAGCCACATCGGGCTGACAGTATATGGGAGCATCTGGTATGCAATAACGTTTGTTGAACTTTACGCTTACAATTAAAATACCCTGCATTTTGTTTTATATTACGTGATAATGCTATTATTTAAACTAGTCATTCTGTTATGCAAGACGAGGCACGCACCGTGTTGACCTGTCGCCGGGCAGATTCAGGCTTGTGGGAGCATCCGTTGGACCATAGACTCTTACAGTATATACTACGCGCAGGATTCTATGGTGTCTACCGTATTGGGCATATTAGACTGGACCACCCACTCATCACTGCTCTCGTCGAGAGGTGGCGCACAGAGACTCATACATTCCATTTCCTAATCGGGGAGGCCACCGTCACATTGCAAGATGTATCTGTCCTATATAGCCTACGGATTGATGGGCGAGCAGTTACTGGAGTTGACCCATCATTGACGAGGGAGCAGTGGATAGCCCTATGTGTTGAGCTATTGGGAGTAGCACCTACACCTGCAGACTTACAGGCAGGTAGACTGAGGGTGAGGTGGCTGGCTGAGCAGTTTGCTTCTCTTCCAGATCATGCTCCAGATAAGTTGGTACAGCAGCATGCCCGAGCATATATTTTGTGGCTTATTAGGGGGGTACTTCTCCCTGATAAGTCACAGAACCTGCTCAAGCTGATGTACTTACCACTGCTGAGAGACATTGACGAGATTGGCCAGTACAGTTGGGGTAGCACGGCTCTGGCATGCATGTATAGGATGCTATGTCGAGCAGCACAAGTGGGTGCGAGGGAGATTGGAGGACCACTTGTGTTGCTACAGGTTAGTAAGAATTTTATTACATGTCAATTCATATTGTTTGACATATATCAGTATTATAATTGTGTTCAAACTATTGCAGATTTGGGCGTGGGAGAGATTGATTCGCATTGCCCCGTCTAGGCAGCAAGTGGTTCGTCCTAGTGAGCTTCCCATGGGTGAGGGAGACATGCAGTTGCCCCTCAGACCGCGAGGTAGCCGGTGGAGGGTTAACTTGGGCCACGAGGTCGTCTCGACCCACGTAGTCATAGTTTATAGAGACCAGCTCAACTGGATGATTGAGGGCGAGGTATGAAATTTTGCTCTTAATTTTAGTTGTCTTGTTCATTGTATATGTTTTGAGTTCAAGAGCGAATTTTAATATACTTGTCGTTATTGTAGTTTATCAGGCAGCCTTACGCTGGGGTCCTCAGTACGCTCCCCGACTACTACCGACTAGGTCAGGAGATATGGATGGCGAGAGTGCCACTTATTTGTTTTGATGTGGTTGAGTGGCATCTCCCCCATCATGTCCTTCGACAGTTTGGTCGGGTCCAGTCCGTGCCGGATCGGTTCGATACCGAGTGGCGGTTGCACGTCATTGATAGGCGTGGCCGAGCTGGCACTGATTGGATTCTGTTTTATATGCGATATATACAGTTGTGAGATGCCCGTGGGGACAGTATTGTACAGGCTGACTGTAGCAATGAGGTGCTCCTATCTTCCGACCCTTACATGTTGTGGTATTGGCGACATACACACCTACTAGTCGCTAATCCGAGCCACCTATCTGAGTCCGGATATCAGGGAGTTGGGCCTTATCTTGAGTCATTGGTAAGTATCATAGTATGTGTCAGATAATTATTAAGATCATAATTGATTTACTTTGAGTTAACTGTAGCCTAATACGTCCGAATTTTTGTTTAGGTGATTGGAGCTAAGAGATTATATCACTTGGCTGAGGACGCCTTTTTCAGACGTGATGGACAGCATGTCTTATAGGCCGTTGCAGAGATCCGAGAGTTATTGTACGAGGCGATCCAGCTTTCCCATCGGGGAGATCGTCTGCATTTTGGCCGCTACGGTGTACACAGTGCAGCAGCTACTCCAGACACATCATTTTCATGACCGCCAAGGAGATTTCTACTGGTCTCTAGACCTTCATTCTTCTTTTGTTTCCGTTACTTGCATTCTTAACCATAAATAGCATATAATTTCCATCCAGATATACCTAGAATGCCAAGGAAAGATAAATCTTTAGGTTAATTTATCAACTTTGTCCACCAATGAATGAGTGTGCAGATTTTCCCTAGACATTTCAAGTGTCACTATGAACATCGCTCTCTTTGTCGGAAGAAATTGATATGCAAACCATTAGGTTCTTTCCAAGGCCTCAATTTCTACTAGGAATGCATGTGGCTTTAATCCTGTTTGCATATGTTATTTCCATGAATAGCTTGTCAAATTTTCATTTCATTCATTCATTTCTTCTTTTTAATTTTTCTTTTTTCAGTTGGTTGAATACAACAATGATGGAAAACAGAATTGTGGTATACGATTTGGATCTTGACGGGTTTGACTAGGTAAATAGTGCACCCTTCATGTTATGACACTTTCAGTTCATGATCCATTATGGTATTTTCCAGAGTGTCTGTGAAGTTTTTTCCTCTTTATATATATTGTTTATATGTGAGACAAGTAGACGTATTAACAGTAGATCTTTTCTCCTTCTTGCCACTTTTTTTTTTTTGAACGATCTCCCTCTTGTCACTTGGTTTTTAGCTTTTATTCACTCAGATCCGAGGTTCACTGATTGTGTTTTGCAGAGGAAAATTCCTTCCCTAGGATTCCAGCTTGAAATCGTGATGATAGACTATGATGGTTCTATTCCAATAAAGAAAAAAGCTGAACAGCCGAGCAAGGGATTTAATGGAAGAGTGGGAAATTCTCCCTTGTCAAGTGACGGAGTGGCTACTACTCCCGATCAAAGTAATGTCTCTGAAAACCAAGACAATGTTGATGATGTATTCTCTGACAGTGATGGAGAGGAAACCATGCCTGCGAAGAGTAGTCAAGCTCGAGCAGACTCTGGAGCTGGGCCTCCTGCACATCTTGAATCTGGCCCAAGAGTGGATCATCAAATGACGGCTTTAACACACGGGACTCAACGGCTGTCACTCGGCAAGGAGTCCAGGCAGATTAATGCGTCCAATGAAGCGAAAATTGATGGGGCTGGGAGATTGGAGTCGGGAAGGATGAGTGATGACATCAAGGCAATTGCAGCGGATGCTTCTGTTTTTACTTTTGGAGATGATGAAGAGTTTGAAAGCGAGTGAAGTACCATTGAGATTCATCTAGTGAGTACATTTGTGTTCCAAACTCTTGTAGTTGAACCATCTGGAAAGAATTTTTCACTTTTGTTTCTTTGTTCTTCCTGCTTTAGGTGGGGAAGTATTTTCATTAAATCTATTGAATTCGTTTATATTTTTTGATGGAAAATGTTTGAGGGCTCGAAAGCCGTTGGCTCGAATTGGCTCGAAACCCAAAACGACATCATTTTGGATTTCGTTTTTTTTCTTTTCTTCTTTTTCCTTTTCTTGACCCGGGCCTCATTCCTCTCGCCTCTCATATCGACTACACATCCTCTCTCTATCTCTTCAGTCTCGCCTCTCTCACCTGTCTGTTGAAGCAGTACGAAGGACGACTGAGGTAAACCCCAAATCGAGCCATGTTAGGGTTTATGTTTGGCATCAATTTTTTTGTAGAAATTATTCGATTTTTTTTATAGAAATTAGCCATGTTAGGGTTTAGTAGAAATTAGGGTTTATAATAATGTTTGGACAACTGTGGACGACTAATTTTTTGTAGAAATTAGTCGAGGATCTTAGGTGTTTTGCATTTCAAGCAAAACCAATCAAATGTATACAGAGGATAACAAATTGAAAACTATGTCAAGGATTGAAAACTATCATTGAATCTGTTAGCCTCTCTGTCCATTTGAAATGCTAATTTGAATACAATCTGATGAGACACTTGGTAGCCTATATCCTATGTGATAGTTTTCATTTGATGGCTTGGTATGTTTGATTGGTTAATAGATTCAATCCATTTGTTTGTATTCTAATTTGAAAACTATGCTCATTTGTATTCAATACATTTGATGGCTTGACATAGCCTCTGTGTCCATTTCTGTTAGGATTGAAATACAAATCAATAACAGATTGAAAACTAGCACATACCAAGTGTATATTTGATTGGTTATCCTCTGTGTCCATTTGATTGGATCTGTTAGCATTGCTTGAATCTGTTAGCATGCCAATTGTATTCATTGAATCTGTTAGCATTGAATCTGTTTGAATCTGCGTGAATCTGTTAGCATTGAAATAGCATTGAATCTGTGTCCATTTGATTGAATTTTACATAAGGCACTTAATATGTTAGAAAATCCAAGATGGTATGTTTTGAGATTAGCACTTAATATGTTACGCCAAAGACACTTGGTATGTTTTGAAAGTTACTGATGAGGGAACAGATTGACATAGTTTATTCAGATGTGTATTTCAGATTTGTATTTCAATCTGATGGCTTGACATAGTTTTCAATCTGCAATACACTTGGTATGTGCATTTCAATCTGATGGCTTAACAGTTTTATGCTAGGCTCAATGATAGATGGATATTTATAATTTTACTAGGCTCATTTTCTGTATTATAACAGTTTGAAAATTTTACTAGGCTCAATGATAAATGGCTCTATAATTTTACTAGGCTCATTTGAAAATTATAATTTTACTAGGCTCAATACACTTGGTATGTGCATTTCAATACAGTTTTACTAGGCTCAATGACATAGTTCATTCATCTTAACAGTTTGTTGCTAGGCTCAAAGACTTTGAAAGTTACTCAGACCTTTGACCAGTTTTATGCTAGGCTCAACGACATAGTTTATTCATCTTTCAGCCTAGGTGACACCATACCTGAAGCAGAATTGTATGTGAAGTCCTTAGATCTCTTTCTCAATGTTATAGACCAAAAGTGACTGTAATAGAATACGGGACATACAGATAGATGAATTGGTAGGCTTTTTGCAGACTTATGAGTTGACCCTTTCTAAGCACCAAATTCATAAGTAAGTAACAGATTCATAAAACTTAACAAAACCTCAAACAGATTCATAAGTAACAGATTGAAAGAGACTTATCATCTGTTTTAGATGGATACCTTTAAAAGATCATTCTAAGTGTCAACATTGATTTTATGCATTCACTTTGTTATCAACATTGAATTTATGCATTCAACATTCATAAGAATTTAAAGTGGCTTTGTTATCAAGATTGAGGTAGTTGAATCTATTGGTTTTTTTTTTATGCAGATAAAAAAATGGCATCATCTTCTACTAATCATATGAAAATAAGATTAAAGCCAAGATTCTGTTATTGTGGAAGAACAGCATCCGTGCACATTGTACGAACCGATGAGAATGGAAATGAAGGACGTGTGTTTTTTGTTTGCCCAAACAAATATGTAAGTATCTGTTCTATAAATTAATGTTTCACTTTTTACAAATTTCATTTGTCTGATTTGATTAACCAATTCTTGTGCATTTTAGAGTGTGAACGAACACTGCAATTACTTCAGCTTCGCAGATGATGATGACAACGATGTTACCTCCACAGATATAAGAACTGAAGAAATCAATGAGCTAAGGAGAAGGCTTGGTGAGCTTGATAGAAGGCTCGAAAGGATGGAGAAGATTTTCAAGGCAATGACTTATGTTATTGTATTTTGTGTATTTTTTTACTTTATCATGTAAATGAATGTAATGGACATATTTTGGGAAGTGTTTGAATGGATGTAATGGACATATTTGAATGACGTATTCTATTATGTAATGGACATATTTTATAATGGACGTATTTTGTAATCGACATATTTTGTAATGGACGTATTCTATTATGTAATTTGAATGTAGTGTTTGAATAGATCTGTTTTATTATGGATTGAACAACCATAACAGATTGAATGGATAAATTTAGTGTTTGAACAACCATAACCTGGACCATTTTATTAATAAATCTTTAACAGATTGAACAACCATAACCTGGAGCATTTTTTGATGAATCTGTTTGAATGGATCTGGAGCATAACAGATTGAGCATAACATATTGAGCATTCAGGCAGATGCACAGATTGAGCATTCAGGCAGATTGAATGGATCTGTTAAAAATCTAGAGCATAACAGATTGAACATTCAGGCAGATTCACAGAATGGATTTGTTTGAATTCAGGCAGATTCACAGACAGACTCAAAATTCAGGCAGATTCACAGATTCACAGACAGATTCAACATTTAAGGAATCTGGAGCATATAGCTTCAGCATTCAACATACAGATTCAACATTCAACCTGGAGCATCACCATAAAATATAACCCGGAATATTAAAAACCTGGAATATAACCTAGAGCATTCAACATACAGATTCAGCATTCAACCTGGAGCATTCAACCTACAGACATACATTAAAAACCTGGAATATTACCATAAAATATAACCTGGAGCATAACTGATATATACATTTCAGCATTCAAAATCTGGCTCATTCAGTCATATTCATAGACCTAATCTGAATCATAACCTGGAGCATTGAAGCAGATTCATAGACATACAAATTGAGCATTTAAAATCTAGCCCATTCAACATCCATTTGCCATCATTGAACATAAAATATTACCATTAAAGTAAAATGTTTCATCTCCGAACAGATGATTTACAACAGGATTTTTTTAGTTCTCATTGAGCATTTTTTTACAACAGGATTTTTTTAGTTCTCATTGAGTATTTACAATAGGTTTATCTGCATCAGCAATCAGATTCACCATTCTGCACCAACAATCAGATTCACCCATCTTCAGGTAATGCACCACCAATCAGATTCAGCATTCAGCATCTCCTTCATCACGGAGCAACGACAGCAGCTCATCTTCCTGAAAAAATTGACTTCTTTATTTAAATACTTTAACATCTCCATTACATCCCAACCTTCACCAATCAAAACATCTCATATTTGGAATTGGCCCCCTACATAGAACTTGGCCAAGTCAATGCATATAGCTCCCAATTAAAAGCAGTGACAAAAAATTACCATTGAAGTGATTGTCGAACTTTGAGTATGAGATGTGCCTCCAATATTGTCCACCGTTTGCATTTGACTAAACTGTGCCTATTCAATAAACAAGTACACTTTACAAATATTGTCCATTCAACATATATATCAATTAAAACAAGAACAAATATTTTAGTTTAAACATTGACCACATACCGGTACATACATACTCTGTTGTGTGCCATCCATGCAAGGAAAATAGTAAGGTGCAGTTTGCGTCGCCTTATGATCATAGTAACATAATTTCATTATACATAAAATACATTAAAATATAAAATTACCAACAACATAAAAATTCAAATACATACCGGGTCATGATAAGTATTGTATTGCATATCATCGGTACCAGGAAAATTTAACTTTCGAGGCTGACATTGACGAACCGTGTGTCTCTATAGTAAGACACAGACACATAGGTGAATAATTTATGTTAAATACATTCAACAATTTCCATGTCACACACAACAAAAAAACTTACCTGCGCTTTGGGAGGCTTTTTAATCTTTCCCTTCAACCGATTCACTATTTCATCCACTTTGCTAACCTTCCGTTTGGTACATGGACGTCCTCTTCGGTGAGCAACCATTGGACTAAGCATGTTGCGAGACATGCTTGCTTTTGTAGTACTATGAGCAGACGAACTTCTCAACGAAGTATGAGAATGTGGTACATTACTAGTAGAAGGTGGCACGTCACTAGCAGAAGTGGTGCATGACTCGCACTACCCGATTGATTTTTTCTCACTCTATCTTTGATTTCTATCAACCCAAGATCAAGCACTTCGTGTTTACCATCATCATTGCCAGCAATTTCTATGATTTCATCCAACATCTTATGGTATTTTTCATGCAACTTTGCATTAAGAACAGCCCCGGCTTTAGTGTATGTAGTTGGAATGCATGTGTACCCTCTTTCGATATTTTTTCTCCATCTTGATACAATGCATTTATCTGGCACCTGATATATACACCTCTCAAGTAGCACAGTAATTGCATGGGCACACATAATGCCCCGAAACTCAAACCACCGACACATACAATGCAATTCACATTTAGTTACATTAAAGTACACAACAAATTCCACACTCTTCATTTTCTCACCCACAAGCACAGCCTCTTTCACATGATAAGTACACATTGCTCCCTCGTCTTTGACAAGATTCGCACGACAATACAATAGTCGTTTCAATTCTACTTGTACTTCTTTAAACTTTGCATTCATGTAGGCTGCACGAAATTGCTTCTCAAACTTATATACCGTTAAGCAATCATACAATTTGTTTCGAGATTTAAAGTCTGCTTTCATCTCTTTCTCAACCTTACTTCTCAAGGCATTATTATACTGTTCAACAAATTGCTTTAAAGTTGTCTTTGAGTTCACATATCCATCAAAAAATGCGTTCATGCTCTCACTTCGTTGTGTAGTCGACATGCCAGCCCAAAAAACATCCTTCACACACGCAGGAATCCACCTGTGTCGCTCACTGTATAATACCCCCAACCAGTCATTATCATCTAGGTTGAACTTTCCAATCATCGCTTGTCATTCTTCATCAAATTTATGTTTTGTAAAACAATCATAAACTGCATTTGGTAATGCAAGCTTAATGGATTCATATTGGGCATATCCTCTTAATTTCTCAGGAATTTTCTTCATGATATGCCATAAGCACCAACGATGTCGAGCTTCTGGAAAGACAACTTCAATGGCATTTTGCATTGCTCTGCATTGGTCTGTTATTATAGCTTTTGGAGGAACGTCAGACATGCAACTTAACCATTCTCTGAATAGCCACAGAAATGTTTTAGTGTTCTCATTAGATAATAGCCCACAACCAAGCAAAATTGACTGCCCATGGTGATTAACTCCTACAAACGGAGCAAATGGCATATCATATTTGTTTGTCAGATAAGTTGTGTCAAATGAAACCACATCCCCAAATGCTTTATAAGTTGCCCTACTTCTTGCATCCGCCCAAAACAAGTTTCGCATGCGACCATCTTCATCGAGGTCAATTGCATAATAGAAGTTTGAATTTTGTTGTTGCATCCTATGAAAATAAAGTGCAACTGATTTAGTATCTCCTACCCCAAGCCTCATTCTTCTCATACTCTGAATATGATTCCTTGCATCTTGTTCATCAAATGTTAATGCCTCATACCCCCATGCTTCAACAACTATAGAATGAAAATTCCTAGCCGCCCCTATCCTTGCTTCATCGTTTATTTCTAGTCTTCTCTTCACAGGGCTAAGAATTCTCTTATTCATTGCAAAATGTCGTGAGTCACTAGGAATCAAGTCATGCGTATGTTCAAGGACAACTGTGGTCAACTAAAATCTTTCATCCTTTTGTAGAGTTGCTCTAACCTTTGCTTTACACTCAATGAATGATGACAAAGATGGTTCGAGGGGTTGTACTTCTGATCGTTTTGTTCTCTTGCGTGCCCGAGTACATTCAACTCCAAAGTATTTTACTTCCCCATCTTGTCCAATATTCTGTGTTCTATAAGATACAGCAAATCCGAGGTGCTTTGCATATTTTGCATAAAACGAATATACTTCTTGCTTTGAGCTAAAACACATGCCCTTCTTAGGTTCTTCAACGTCACCAATCTCATTTAATGACGGATTGTTTTCCGTCTCTTCAACTTCCTCACTCCCATTCAATGAAAGATTAGTTGAATCAATGTCCATTGAAGCGTGTAGTTCGTGTAGTTTCAAACCAAATAGAAACTAAAGTGTAAGTGCATGTATGTGCATTTCAAATTTTCAAACTGCGATGAAATTCAACATTGATATTAATTCAACAACACTGACATTACTTCAACACACTGAGATTAGAAGGTGGTGCAAAATTTTGACTAGGGTGGGGAGTTCAGAAACAAACTGAAAATCTATGGTTGAGTTAAGTTGATTACACAGTGAGGGAAGTCTTGATTTTTCATGTGAACTCAACCAACACATAAAAAATCAGGGCAATTTCTCTATGCGGACTTTCATCAAACAATTGGCATGCATCACTACCATGGAAATGTTTAACAGAGAGCTTGCTTCCAGAACAATCAAATTTTTTTTTTTTTAACATACACAGATCAATTACGAGATGTTCAATCATTAACATACACAGATCAATAACGAGATGGTAAATAGGTGCAGTGGAGACAGAATGGAGAAATTTTTTTAACATACACAGATCAATAACGACATGTCTTACGAAATGTTGACCACATCTCAATGTTGGCAAAATAAAAATGCACAAATAAATTATTCATCACTCTGTCTCCCTATTAATATACAAAATTTTTTTGTATTAGATACACATAAATGAAACAGATTCACAGAAACAAGATAGGTGCAGTGGAGACAGATCAATTTTTTGTAGACGAGTTAGATAGGTGCAGTAGAGACAGAGTGGAGAAATTTTTTTAACATACATCTCGAATTACTTACCTACAGATACAAAATGGAGATTCCGAACACCGGTGGATGGTGGTCAGCGACGCTCGTTAGTGAACACCAGGTCGGTCGTCATCGTCGTGGTCTCAACCTTCTCTCGCCGTTGTGGTTGTCTCCCTCTCTCTCCCTTCTCTCCTCTCTTGTTTCTGCTCTTTTGTTTCATTTTTCTTCATCACTTTGTGCAGAACACGTGAGCTCCACGTGCATCAAAATTTCGCGCGGGAAACCATTCGAGCCATTCGAGCCGTTGCTCTTTCGGGCCCTGTAACGGGATTGATTTTTTGATCACATCGACTCTCTCCTTTGCAAGTTAGCATAGATCATAACAGTTTGACCCTACACCTAACTATTTCATTATATCAAAAATTTGTTCTGAAAGTTCTGTAGTGAAAACTCAGAGGCTTCTGCTGCTTGTCCTATTCTGTTAGGCTTGGTTAAGATGAAAATGGTAAAGTGAGAAATGAAAAAATAAATAAAATTTTTCTAAATTTGTTTAGTCGGAAAATGGAGAAATTTGCAAGAAAATTAATTCTGATACAACTCATAATAACATAGCAATTGAAAAAACACTGCTGTCATTACCGTTCAATCTTGCTGGAAGGATAAGATCAACACGAAATGATGAATGACAGAAATTAAGGTCTCCAAATATTTATCCACTGGACTTATCGCGTAACCGTTTGTTAAAACACGAGCAGAACAATGGGCAATTAACCATGACTCGAACAAGCTGCCAGACAATTCTAGAAGTTTTCATAATCATCAAAATGATTAAACAATACAACCTAACACCAGGACTATCAGTTCATACTGTTATTCTATACTAGACGGAATCCCCATAGTTCAAACAAATAGAGAGTTCATTACAAATAGAGAAGAAAACCAAAAAAAAAAAAAAAATGAAATAGTTAATGATGTGTTTCATGGCACGGAGTGTTAGTAGCAAAGACCCTTTGGTTCCATCAGCACCAAAAATTCCAAACACAAACAGTAAAGTTGTACCCAAAATGATGCCATGCCACCAATGCAAGCACATCCAACCACAACCACTACATTTTATCCCTCCGAATCTCATTTAAAATTCAGCAGCAGTGTCATAATCACCATCCCTGGGTTACTCTCCAGCCAAACTCACCTGCCAACCGCCAAAAACGCCAACAATAAAAAGGCACTCTTTTAAGCATCCAACACTGTAGAGAAAAGTCCTTGTTTCCTTGTAAGAGCAACTATGATCTTGTTCAAGTCAGTGATCTCCTCATCCCTCTGTCTCAGTTCTTGCTTCAGTCTTTCAATCTCCTTCAAGTGACCATCACAAAGGTTTGACCCTGCCTTAGTCTGCTCTCTAGCTTCCTGACCTGACTTCAACTTCTGGGACTCGCCTGTGGTGGTCTCCTCAACTCAGAATGATCTACAATTATTATTATTATTTTGAAAGTGTTGCTCCACCTTAAGTAGAATCCAAGGCTATCTTGGGAAACTCCTCCACTAGGTAGTTGTAAATTACATGTACTTTTTATATCTGCATGTGTAAGTGTAAATGCGTCTAATTAGAAGTCCGTAAATTTTAATTGTAAGGGAAAGCAATTAAACGTTGTGTCTTCAATGGTCTGCTCATTCCACACTATGCTAAAAAAAATTATGTGCGAACTCAACTAAGGTTGCAAATGAATTAAACTATTTGTGAGTCGACTCGGCTTGCTAAGGGTTCGACTTGTCTTGGCTTGGCTCAGCTCGACACGATTTGTTTAGTAAACGAACTAAGTTTGAGCTCAGCAAAGCTCGGTTTGACTCGACTCAATTCGTTTGTAGTCCTAAACTCAACTGGTATGCCAATTTACAAAAAATAAAGAGTAATGATTGAGACTCCCATCCCCACAAGATCCCCACAAATCTGTACTACTCATGATGTGGACCCCACACATATGGGCTCCACACATACATAGAGAGAGGGGATCATTTTGGGGGTGTGGGGGTCATTCTCAAAAGGGGTCTCAAACATTTTTCAAAAATAAAATAAGATTTTATGACATTACATTTCCTACAATTGGATAAATTTAGATATTTTGTCATTATACATTTATTATTTTTGTCATAAAACAATATAATTTTTTTAAAAAAATAAAGAAAAGTCCCAAAATTTTGTCAATTACAACATTTAAGAATTCTATACAAGTATCCCAAAAAATAGTTTTATATCAAAATATTGTCAACATACAATTATTAGTTTGGTCATCGGATAAACATATGTATATAAATAAGTAGGCCATGACATGGTAATAAAACTAAAATTCAAATGATTCCTCATGTGAATTTGTCTCCTAATTTGTAAGTACTTCAAAAAAAAATTATAAAAAATCAACTGAAGATAACTTAAAATCAAATTTATATAAGCCTTTTCATTTCATGAGTGTTGAAACCACAATGAGAATTATATAAATTGTTTGTTGTATCCAAGGCTTTTAGAAAATTAAAGAGAGTATGTACATTAAATTTAATAAAGCAATAAAAATTAAAAAAAACAAAGCATAGGAAATTGAGAAATTTTGTAATAATAATAAAAAATAATTTAAAAAAAGATTTCGGATTAAATCGGGTCGGGGCAGAAAAGGCCCATTTTTTTTGTTGGTTAAATACTAACTGGTTCTATAGCTTGATAACTGGTTCTAAACTGGTTCGAACTGCGGAAGTTTGATGGCACAAAGCAGGAGCCCTAATTCAGCTTCCCGGCTTTTTTCATCTCTCTCTCTCTCTCTCTCTCTCTCTCTCTCAGACACACATACACAGAGATGGATAAGATGATCGCCAACGTGGGGAAAGATGTAAGATGATTCTAAAGCTTTCACCTGCTATATAGGAACAATTTTCTTTTTATTTTTGTAGTTAATCAACCTATTGCTAAAGGATTTAATAGTTTCTAGTAAAATTAATGATTTTTTTTAGAAATTCAACTTAATTATTGAATATATATTACCAATTGTTGGTGCTGGAAAGGGAAATACTAAATGTAGATCTAAAACTTTGCACTACTTGTGCAAATTGCTGCTCTGCTCTCTTACTGAAGCTGGTGTTATCTGAAATAACACTTGAATGTTGTTAGGTTCTTGCTATGCTCGTCAAGGCGGCGCAGCAACAGGGGATGGAGGGCAGTGAAGGAGACTAGGAGGTGTTTTTAAGTAAGCATGACAAACCATTCGGGTCTAGAATACGTGGTCCGAGAAAGAAGTCCGCTGTTACATTGGCTCGTTTTCTAAAGGCATTTAGCCGAGATGATGATGTAAAGGTAATTAATTGCACCAAAGTTGTTGCCTTGAAACTAATCTTTTCTCACTTATGTGAAGAATCATTACGACGCTTGTGTTTGTTTGCAGTTTTTCGATAACAAAATGCACTGGTAGTCTAAGCAGGATATACTTAGGAAATTCATAGAGGAATCCAGAGAAGTTGAATCCCCTGTGCAGGTTTGGGTTGATTTGATTAACATGTTTTATTCAGTGTGTCTGCGAGCTGTAGTTTCATACTGGGATAAGAATTATATATTTTTGATGAATGTAAAAGAATTGCATATATGGATTGATTAGGAATAAGTTATTTTTATTCTAGCTTCTTATTTATTTAATTTTTTTAACAGCATGTCGTTGCTTGATTTTCCTCCTTAATCAATATTCTAGTCACAAGATTGTGATGTCTCTACCTTTGAGTTTCATTTATGTTGTAAATTAAATGCGCATTCTGTCTTGTTCTCAGTTTAACCACATTAATATTAATTTGTTTGACTAAAAACTGAGTCTTTCCAGTCTGATTCAGTATTATGCTCCTGTGTGTTTTCATAAAATGTTTGAACAGATTTTTCAGCACTAGTTTCAGAATACATCATTAATCTGAAATCACTTACTGGTGTTTTCTACTTTTTCTCTCAGAATTCTTTGTCTTGTAAGGCGGGCTGTTTGTATTACAAATTTGAGTATGATCCTTATTAAGTTGCTGTTGTGTCAGTGCAGATGCTGGTTCGCTTAACTCTTGAACACCCACAATACCCATTAGATTATTAATTTCCGTCACATGAGGAGGTTTGCTGTCAATTTTGTTCCTTTTTCTTTTCTTTTTTTTGCTATTTATTTTCATATATTGCAAAATACCCATTGGATTATTCATTTCCGTCACATGAGGAGGTTTGATGTCAATTTTGTTCCTTTTTCTTTTCTTTTTTTTTTTTGCTATTTATTTTCATATATTGCAAAAATTTCTATGAGTCACCCCTAGCTTGTTAGTGATGATTGTACTTTTGTATCTTCTAGTTCTAGGCATGGTCCAATATTAGCAATTTATTGTTATAAATACTCTCTTCTATGTCTAGCTAAAGGTAAATTCAAAATTACTCAACTATGCCTTGTACCAATTATGCAGGCTGCGTCACTCAAATTATGTTTCAGAATTTACTATGCATGACCTCGGAGTAATTTTGTAGCTATCTATCATCATGAAATCACTGCCTTCAATGAGGAACTCTTGCATGCAACTTTTACGCTTGGTTTCCCCTTCTATAGAACTGAAAGAAAAGTCATCATGGATTTGAAATTACTTTTTAATCAATTGGGTGATTTCAATGAGACTCGTTCTATTACCACCTTTTGGAATAATTGGTATATAATCTGCTGATTCTTTTTTTGCATTTGATAAGTATCCGTTCTCCTATTGTATATGTCATTTCTAGGTGTTATAGTTTATAACTGTGCATCAGATTGGGCTATTGGCTGACCCCATTTGTTTGTCAATTTTGTTCCTTTTTCTTTTCTTTTTCTTTTTTTTGCTATTTATTTTCATATATTGCAAAATACCCATTGGATTATTCATTTCCGTCACATGAGGAGGTTTGATGTCAATTTTGTTCCTTTTTCTTTTCTTTTTCTTTTTTTTGCTATTTATTTTCATATATTGCAAAAATTTCTGTGAGTCACCCCTTGCTTGTTAGTGATGATTGTACTTTTGTATCTTCTAGTTCTAGGCATGGTCCAATATTAGCAATTTATTGTTATAAATACTCTCTTTTATGTCTAGCTAAAGGTAAATTCAAAATTACTCAACTATGCCTTGTACCAATTATGCAGGCTGCGTCACTCAAATTATGTTTCAGAATTTACTATGCATGACCTCGGAGTAATTTTGTAGCTATCTATCATCATGAAATCACTGCCTTCAATGAGGAACTCTTGCATGCAACTTTTACGCTTGGTTTCCCCTTCTATAGAACTGAAAGAAAAGTCATGATGGATTTGAAATTACTTTTTAATCAATTGGGTGATTTCAATGAGACTCGTTCTGTACCACCTTTTGGAATAATTGGTATATAATCTGCTGATTCTTTTTTTGCATTTGATAAGCATCCGTTCTCCTATTGTATATGTCATTTCTAGGTGTTATAGTTTATAACTGTGCATCAGATTGGGCTATTGGCCGACCCCATTTGATGGGACTTAAGGCTTGGTTTGGTTTGGTTTGGTTTATCAGATTGGGCTACTGCATTTGCAGCTTGTTCTCTTCTTTACTAAGAAAATTCCTTGCTTTTTGTGCAATAGCAGGGAGAGACATTATTTGAATATTGAATTTATTAAGAAGCATATGTTACAAATATTGGTTGTTTTGTACTTTCTGGTGCCAGGAGAATTAGTGTACTATTTTTTTTTTGCCGATGATGACACAATAATGAGTGGAAAGACCAATTCAAATTTTGCGTTTTATACGGTTACTCCTTGGTGAAAATGCAATTGATATCTATGATCGTGCATGTACCGAAGGAAACGACTCCAGCTAATACCATATGGAGCATGGTCCATAAGTAGCCCCTGTTGTCCCTTTAAATATAGTTGAAAATAGTTAGTCTTAATTTGCTGCATGCTCGTCTATTGCAATTTGAAGAAACGAGATTAAATTCTGCAGGCTAATTATAAATATTCAATGTTTTTTTTTGGGGGTGGTTAAAAAAAGAAAACAAGCCGAGCTCAAGGTCGAATAAGCTCGGCTCGTTTGTCTTTATTTAAATTAAATAATAAATATATTATTTATATATTAAATAATATAAATAATATTTTTTATTTAAATAATATAAGTAATATTAAAAAAATCTCATTGAGCCAAGCTGAGCCGAGCTCAAATTTCATTAATATTAACGAGTCGAGTCGATTCGAGCTCGAGTCTAGTTACTTAACAAGGCGAGCTCGAGCTCAATAAACGAGCTCGATAAGCAAACGAGCCGAGCTCAAGCTTAGTAAAGCTCGGCTCGGCTCGGCTCGTTTGCAGCCCTAGTGAGAATTCCCTTAACACTAACCCGACCTATTTATAAAAGTGTTAACCTGATTACGACCTGCATGCCATGATTAATGTGCACATCCTATTTGTTATGTACTAAGAAGCACGGACATTTCTAAGAATGTGACGTATTCGTGTCGTGTCCGTGTTGGACACCGACACTCTATGGACACTCTTAAGACACGTGTCCGACACTCTTCAAAATGTGTTCTATTTTTGAAGACCCGGACACTTTTTGGACACTTGGAGAACACACGTGTCTGTTGCTTAAACACGTGCCTATCGATTAGACACATGTGAAACTAATTATAAGTTTGAACAAAACAACTTAAGACACAATAATAAAACAAAAACTATATAAATTTATAGGAATTAGTGTCACATTACATTTTTTTGTTATCTTTGAATGATATATTCATATATATAACATATAATAAATAAATAAAATTATATATTTCCTGTGTGTCCTCCTCGTGTCGTGTCCTGCATTTTTTGAAAATTAGTGTGTCGTCGTGTCCATGTCGTGTCACGTGTCCGTGTCCATGCTTCGTAGGTTATGTATACATGTTTAATCCATTAACAAGAATAAACACATATATTCATCAACATCTACAATGACTATATGATATCCACAAAAATAACTCAAAAAATTCATGAGTAATCCACGAAAGTGGAAGTTGAAAAAATCTCACAAATGGTCAAATAGATAAAAGTCTCAATCAACACAATTAGCTAAATTTGTATCCAAACCAGTATGACTTCCAATAATAAAAAGTAAAAACCAAAAAAAAAAAAAAAAACTAACACAAAAAATTAACTCATTATTGACTCCAAGAACTTATACACTAGCACCTTCAAACGGGTTAGACATGTCAAATTCAAGTTATGTAGGTTTGACACTAACCCAATTTGCTTTTTTTTTTTGGATGTGCACGCTATTGTATTGTGTCACTTTTGAGGTTGATGTTTCATGAGTAATCCACAAAAGTAGAAGTTGAAATAATCTCACAAATAGTCAAAAAGATAAAAAGTCTCAATCAACACAATTAGCTAAATTAGTATTCCAAACCAGTATGACTTTCAATAATAAAAAGTAAAATCATAAAAAAAAAACTAATACAAAAAACTAACTCATAATTGACTCCAAGAACTGCTACAATAGCACATTCAAACGGGTTAGACATGTCAAATTCGAGTTATGTAGGTTTGACACTAACCCAATTTGCTTTTATTTTTTGGGTGTGCGTGCTATCGTATTGTGTCACTTTTGAGGTTCATGTTGTTAACTAGTCAACCCTAACTGGCCAACTTTGTATTCGGTTCATGTAGTGTAAAAAATTCCAACCCGAGTTTTTTTCATGTCCAACATAAATTCGGTGCAAAGTGAAAGCATATGTCCAAGTAAGTTCATTTGTTGCAAACCAACAAATAAGAGGTGCCCTATTTGCTTGTATTTAATGGAATTTAAGTTCTTTCCAATATTGTTAATTGACGGTTTCTACTCTCAGGCCTCGTTTGAGAACATACTATTTTACTAATTTTTTGGTTTTTTTGTTAAAATATGAGGTAAAAAAAATTAGTATGTTTGGAATGACTTTTTAATTTTTTACGAAAAGATGTGCAAAAAGTTAAGAGACAATAGAATCTTTGGTTTTTAGTATAGTTTGTTGGCTTTTTAGTTTTTTTAGTGACTTTTTGACTTTTAGGTAAAACAGTGAGTTACCAAACGAGGCGCAAACAATGAAGGTTTCTTTTATGCTAATTGATTTGCGTTGTCTTCTTCTTAACTTCAGGGATGGTTGAGAATGAAGCTCAGTACAAACCAGATAAAGAAATTTCCCAAAATGCTTGCTGTTGATTGTGAGATGGTTCTCTGTGAAGATGGCACTGAAGCTCTGGTGAGGGTTTGTGCTGTTGGGCGCGATCTACAGGTACTGTTTTGAGCTTGTTTTCAAATTTTTGTGCAGCATGACTTAGTAATACCTCCCTCTCGCCTCATGCACAGAAACACAGGTGCAAAAGAATTACCTATGTTGTAACTAGTTTGACAATTTTAGACATCTCAGAGGTCTCAATTGAATAATTTTCTTTTCACTTCCCAAGTTGATGTGGTGTTTTGGAATTTGGAGTTTTTCTGGTCAAACTTAATGAACTTGTAAATCCAAATAAAGCAGTTGCAGACTATAGGAGTGAAATTACTGGGCTCAGTGCAGAAGATTTGGATGGAGTTACTTGTTCATTGGCTAATGTACAGGTAATATGTGGTTAGTTTTGAAGTAAATTGCAAACAGCACAGACAAAAATATAATTAGGTAAAAGTTTAATATATAAATAACTAAAAATCATCTGAAATATAAAATAACTAAATGAATAAAAGTTAGTTGGCATTTGAATGTCTTTCTCTCTGGTGATTTTATAGGAATCAATGAAGAAGCTTTTACAGGATGGAAAAACAATATTAATTGACCACAGTTTGAACAATGATCTAAAAGGTGAGCTAAGTTGTATGATTAAATATTAATTTTCCTTCTAAACATTTCTATTTGCATGACAGTTGAAATAAGCATCATTCTTCGTTAATATAGTCATCCCATGTATTTGTTTGCCATTTGGCTACTAGCTGTCAGCTAATTATAATTTCTAACATCTGTTTTTGGAATTATACATTGTGATTTGAATTGTATGATTCAATACAATTCAGGAGGTGATCGATAAAAACAGGTTGCATGAATCGTAAATCCCAATGAATCGTAGAACTAAATCGGTGAAAGGTTGCACTGACCATAACTTAACTTAGACGAACAATAATATTTGTTCTATACATCATGAAAGGTTTCATAAGGTAATTGCTTATGCAAAATGTGAATATTGAGCTTGAAGGGAAAGGTCAATTTTGTTTTTGGATAAACATCCAATAAAGTGCTTTTAATGATGTTATGAACTTATGACAGCATAAGGTAATGTATGCAACACAATGACACACACACACACACACACACAAACACACACACACACACACACTCTCTCTCTCTCTCTTAATTTTAAAATTTAAGTATATTGTAGGCTCTTTTTTTCCCTGTTCATTATGAAAAGGCTGATGTGGTGAATGATTTGGTGGCAGCCCAACAAAAAGGCTGGAGGAAAGAAGTATTCTGCCTTTGCCAATTTTAAGAATCAAGAAGAGGCAAATCAAGCATTTGAAAATATCGATGGATACCGAGAAAAGGTATTTCCTGGATGAGAATCTCTCTATATCTTGCACAACTTCTACTATCTGGAAAAGGTGGCCCATGAATGTAGCCATATGTATATCCTTACTTTCCCTTGAAAGCAACAACAGAAGCTAACCCTGATGTAACATAGCTTTTCTAGTTTATCTCTAACACAAAGGTATTCTGCTTTGTTTAGGTGTGAAAACCTAATACTCTTGTAACAAGTGCCTTTGGTCTGTAATTCATTAGTGCCATCTTTATACAACATTTTCCTGTGATTTTTGTTGATAGTCTTCCATTTAAAAACTATCTCATGCATAGGAATTAAATTTTGAATTTTGTTGATGGCTTTTGTGTTCATAAAATGACAAGTTAGGATTTTCTTGGCCAAGTTTCATCGAGGAAAAGATCATTCCAAGTTGAGGAGACCACCACAGGCGAGTCCAAGAAGTTGAAGTCAGGTCAGGAAGGTGGAGAGCAAACTAAGGCAGGGTCAAACCTTTGTGATGGTCACTTGAAGGGGATTGAAAGACTGAAGCAAGAACTGAGACAGAGGGATGAGGAGATCTCTGACTTGAACAAGATCATAGTTGCTCTTACAAGGAAACAAGGACTTCTCCCTACAGTGTTGGATGCTTAAAAGAGTGCCTTTTAATTGTTGGCGTTTTTGGCGGTTGGCAAGTGAGTTTGGCTGGAGAGTAACCCAGGGATGGTGATTATGACTCTGATGTTGAATTTTAAATGAGATTCGGAGGGATAAAATGTAGTGGTTGTGGTTGGATGTGCTTGCATTGGTGGCATGGCATCATTTTGGGTACAACTTTACTGCTTGTGTTTGGAATTTTTGGTGCTGATGGAACCGAAGGGTCTTTGCTACTAAGACTCCGTGCCATGAAACACATCATTAACTATTTCATATTTTTTTTATTTTTTATTTTTGGTTCGCTTCTCTATTTGTAATGAACTCTCTATTTGTTTGAACTATGGGGATTCCGTCTAGTATAGAATAACAGTATGAACTGATAGTCCTGGTGTTAGGTTGTATTGTTTAATCATTTTGATGATTATGGAAACTTCTAGAATTGTCTGGCAGCTTGTTCAAGTCATGGTTAATTGCCCATTGTTCTGCTCGTGTTTTAACAAATGGTTATGCGATAAGTCCAGTGGATAAATATTTGGAGACCTTAATTTGTGTCATTCATCATTTTGTGTTGATCTTATCCTTCCAGCAAGATTGAACGGTAATGACAGTAGTGTTTTTGTAGTTGCTATGTTATTATGAGTTGTATTAGAATTAATTTTCTTGCAAATTTCTCCATTTTCCGACTTAACAAATTTAGAAAAATTTTATTTATTTTTTCATTTCACACTTTTACCATTTTCATCTTAACCAAGCCTAACAGAATAGGACAAGCAGCAGAGGCTCTGAGTTTTCACTACAGAACTTTCAGAACAAGTTTTTGATACAGTGAAATAGTTGGGTGCAGAGTCAAACTGTTATGATCTATGCTTAACTTGCAAAGGAGAGAGTCAATGTGATTAAAAAATATAAACGAATTCAATAGGTTTAATGAAAATACTTCCCCACCTAAAGCAGGAAGAACAAAGAAACAAAAGTGAAAAATTGTTTCCAGATGGTTCAACTACAAGAGTTTGGAACACAAATGTACTCACTAGATGAATCTCAATGGTACTTCACTCGCTTTCAAACTCTTCATCATCTCCAAAAGTAAAAACAGAAGCATCAGCTGCAATTGCTTTGATGTCGTCACTCATCCTTCCCGACTCCAATCTCCCAGCCCCATCAATTTTTGCTTCATTGGACACATTACTCTGCCTGGACTCCTTGCTGAGTGACAGAGCCATCATTTGATGATCCACTCTTGGGCCAGATTCAAGATGTGCAGGAGGTCCAGCTCCAGAGTCTGCTCGAGCTTGACTACTCTTTGAGGACACGGTTTCCTCTCCATCACTGTCAGAGAATACATCATCATCATTGTCTTGGTTTTCAGAAACATTACTTTGATCGGGAGTAGTGGCCACTCCATCACTTGACGAAGGAGAATTTCCCACTCTTCCGTCAGATCCTTTGCTCGGCTATTCAGCTTTTTTCTTTATTGGAATAGAACCGTCGTAGTCTATCATTACGATTTGAAGCTGGAATCCTGGGGAAGGAATTTTCGTTTGCAAAACACAATCAGTGAACCTTGGATTTGAGTGAATAAAAGCTAAAATGCAAGTGACAAGAGGGAGAAAAGATCTACTGTTAATACGTCTACTTCTCTCACATTTAAACGATACATATAAAGAAGAAAAACTTCACAGATATACTGTGGAAAATATCATAATGGATCATAAAAATAAACAGAACAATAGCAGTTGACTAGAAAATAAGTTTCATGATCACATCTGAGAATTTTACCAGGTTGATTCTTGAAGTCTACAGCTAGAAAATTCAATGATAGAAGCATAAGCACTGACCCATTAATTTTTTGTATTATTATTTTGGGGGTAAATAAGAGAACTTCATTGAATGCAGCATCACAGTTTATGAAGCAGTGATATTTCGAAAAATATGATGTATCTGTACCGGGTACTTACTGGCATATGGTACTTCGAATGATACTTCTGCATACGTACCGAATACATGAAACACGTACCCAAATTTTTTTTTATTAATTTTTTACGTACACAGATGTACCTAGTATATACCCAAGTCGTACTGTACCTCAATCGAACCAATAATTTCTTCTACTACATAGATGAAATTCATTTTACTAGACTTCTTTTCATTTTCAGTTTTATGTTTAGTATGATTTTAAAATTAAGCTATGATTTGTAAGTAATTTAATATAATAACATTTAATTTTGATTTATAATTTTAATTTTGGCATTAAATATTAATTGTAGGTTGGATCTTAACAAATTAAACCATTCAATCAATTTTTGCATTACTCCAAATTTAAAATAAATATATTTTTACAAACATATCAAACTGTATCCGTACCTTATTTTTTTAAAAAAATTATCTTATCGACGTACCCGTATCATACCACTGATCTGCTTCGACGATTGACGGTAGTTTAGCCTCGGCAGTCAGTTGGGGAAGCTTCTCTACTGTTATCTCGACATCTATTTCAAGAAGGGACGTGGTTCTAGGACTATGCAGAAAACAGAAACGAGGGCAAGAATCTGGAAATACAACAAGAAAAGACAAGAAGAGAAAATTTAGAGCCAAGAATAGTGGTGAATCATCAAGAACACTGTGACAGAGTGTATGCAAGGGTACAAGGCCAAGAACAGTGGCAAAAGTGCAAGAAAGTTGTGAACAGTATGTGTATTCAAGACTTGGGTAAAAAAAAAATCATGAAATAGACACACTGAGATACATGATTCATGAAATCGAATACTTGAGCAAAACAGCAATGGCAACAAGCAATGAAGCAAAAACTCTTGAGAGCAACAAAAATTGAAACTAGGAGGAACAGTGGCTTACCAGAAAAAGTGAAGCCGGTATGAGGATCGCCAAAATCAGACGACGGCAGCAATCGGAAAGGATCAGCAAAAGCCTCACCGGAGGGAGAGAGTGAAACTGGTTGCAGAAAGCTTTGCAAAAGAAGCAAATGAAAGATTTGAGGGGGTTGATTTTGATCAAAAGCACGAAATGGCGGCAAAATGGCAATTATGGTACTTGGGACGACGTGCTTGTCAGACAGCGCAATTCATACGCGTGATGAAACACTTGGAGTTTTTGATTTAATGAAACAAATACCTCGGCTAGGAGGACGGTTTCGGTTGAAAAACTTGGACGAACTTGGTTGTTGGTTCCAAAGTATTGATGAAAGCATATTATAGGTCTCGATCATATTGAGCCACTGAGTTTTGACTTCGGCAATAGATGATGAAGCAAGCTTAGCCGACGTGCTAAATGGAGGGAATGATATAGGTTCCATCACCTCAGGATGCCGAGGTAATAGAACCTACGGGGCAGTTATTGGGGCATAATTTTTGAATGACAACACGTGGCCGAGGTGTCATCGAAGTGCCAGCAGAGGTGCCACGTGTCCTGGTCATGATGCCGAGATGATCTCGGTTAGGTCGAGGTTATCAATGAGAATACCGGAATCCGAGATAAGCGGATAAAGAACAAGAGTCCTAGAATGGGAGGAGACTTTAGTTTGGGTAAAGATAAAACTCTTAGAGAGCTTATCCTGATCCTATTGGGAGTCCAAGATTAGCAGTAATCCTGAGTTCATTGGAGTTAGGCTTCCATTGGGACTAGGATTGAGTTGGCTATAAAAGAGAGGCACCCCCATGGGTCTAAGGTATGTCTTTTTATGCTCAAGCTAATGAGTTTAGCACTATTGATTATCTTTGAGAGATATTGAGTACTGACTTGATCGTCGGAGTACCCTCGGGTGGCAAACCACCACCGGAGTCTTCTCTTTTTGTTGCAGGTTAGTCAGGTGTCATTTATTCTGCCAGTGCTCTCCAGCTGGATACTAAGATTGCAATGTGGTCAGATTTTCACCCACACACTTTTTAATTTAAAAATAATATTGTAATGACTAATTTTTTTTATACTTAATTTATTTATCATATGATATGTCACTATTATATTTGTGCAATATATCCCATCTCCATAAATTAATTTAACATTTCAATCTTATGTGGGTCATCGTCAGTACTTATAATAACTAGAAAGGAGCTTTTTCAATGGTTAGTTAAAATTTTTTTATTGTTAAAATTTAGCATAAAATTCAAAACTAAACTCTCCAATGACTAGCTAATAATCTTGCAAAATTTTACCTTTGCTTAACTCTAGATTAAAATTTAGCACAAAGTTTAACAATAATTAAATTTTAACAAGATCTTTTTTCCTCGTAATGGGACTTATAAATGATATATTGATTTGACATTTTATAAAAGATTCAATATTAGTACTATTAGAACGGTTCAAGTTATACTCACAAAACGGTGTGTATCATATACAAGTTATAATATTTATAATATTTGCAGTGGTAGTAGTGGTAATAATGGAATGGCATTTGCAGTAGCGGTGAATGTGGTAGAGAAGATGGGTGGTGAGAGAGAGATGAGTGAGAGACAAATAGAGAAGAGAGATAGAGAGAGAGAAAGAGAGACAGACAGATAGACAGAGACAAAGTGATGAGTGAGAGAGAGACAAAGTGGTCGCTAAAAGTACATTTTCTTGTAGTGGAGATCTCGGTAAATAGAGAAGAGATGAGGGAGAGAGTGAGCAAGGTGAACACAATGGGAGAGAGAGACAAGCAGACAGACAGACACATAGAGAGAAAGAAAGAGAGAGAGAAGAGCGAAAGACAGACAAACAGACATAGAGAGAGAAAGAGAGAGAAAGAGAGAGAGTGATAAGTGAGAGAGAGACAAAGAGAGAAAGAGATATAGAGAAAGATATAGGGAGACAGAGAGAGAAACAGATAGAGAGAGACATATAGAAAAATAAGAGAAACAATAGATGAGTGAGGGATAGACAGAGTGAGAGAGAAAGAGAGCAAAAAAAGATGATCGAGAGAAAGACATAGAAAAAGAGAGAGACGAAGAGAGAATAAAGATGAGCGAGAGAGACGGATAGAGAGATAGAGAGAAGATAAATGAGCAAGAGAGAAGAGAGATAGAGAGATGAGAGAGATAGAGAGAAGAGAGATGGGCGAGAGACAAAGAGAGAGAGAGAAAGAGAAAGAGACAGACAAAGACTGACAGACAGAGAAGAGTGATGAGTGAAAGAGAGAAGAGAGATAATATTTTGTGGTAGAGAAGAGGAACCGACAGTAGTAGTGAAGGTGGTGGATAAGAGATGATGGTGGTGGTGGTGGTGGTGGTGATGACAAAGGAGATTAGTGGTAAATTTGTGGTAGTAGTAGAGTAGATGGAGTAGCAGGGGTGAAAGAGATGTAAAGGTAGTAGTAGTAGTGGTAGTGGTGGTAGTGAAGTGGTGGCGATGGTAGTAGTAATGGTAGTCGTAGAGGTAAAATAGCGACCGTGGTGGTAGTGGTGGTAATGAAATGGCGTTTGCAGTGGTGGTGAAGGTGGTAGAGGAGATGAGTGGTGAGAGAGAGAGATGAGTGAGAGGCACACAGAGAGAGAGAGAGAGAAAAGAGATGAGAGAAGAGATAGATGAATGAAAGACACAGAGAGAGAGAGAGAGAGAGACAAATAGAC